TGTCGTCAACTACGAGATCGTCTGTCTAATATTGGTCAATCAACTTCGTCTTTCAGCTTAGTCGCACGTTTGGCTGAGTTCGTGTGCCTCCTTGATCTCCTCGTTTCCGTAGAAGAGTACAAACTTGATGGAAAAAAGCCGTGGATAACGTTCAAGGAGCAAGGACGATTTTATATCACAGGCAGAAGCAGCAGGAATGACTCTGTGAGACGATCACAGACATTAATGATTGGATGACGCACCGCCGTAACCGAGAAACGCTAAGCAAACTCCTCGGCAAACGCTACATAAAATCGTAGAGTGAAGAGAGTGATAGAAGTGTGTGGAAGGCAGCCGGAGGGGCAGCATAGCTGGCTCTAAACGCGACTCCTGCGTCACTGAGACGCGTCCTCCGGACTCACTCGCGGTCATCCCTCCTCAACCGTAGCTAGCTCGTCGTCGCTGCGTCGCTGCGAATGGTGTACACGCGTGCAGCAGCGGAGCGACAGCACGTGGGAGGGTTGTTTGAGAGACAGAGCAGCTGAGGCGGCCACCCGTACCCGCTCACCGCGTTCGCGCCGCATTAGTTGCAGGAAGCCGCCGACCAAACGCCGCCCCCAGCGTGTGGTCGTGTGGCTGCTGGCCACGTCCGCCGCCTCTTGCATGGCAGCAGCCCGCCCATCCTCGCTCGCCCCAAGGAGCATGAGGACTTGGCGCGCAGCGAGCGTGTCGTTGCCCAGGGTCCATTGAAATTCTGGGTCAAGTTCTTTAGCCCGAAGCCACCCAGGTGGGAGAGGGGGCTTGCGCAGCACGTCTCCTGCTCTCCTGAGTGGCTGTGGGTTTCAGTAGGGTTTGATAAGGTAAAGACAAAGAACAAACAGACTGTGTTGCCCCTCCAGGCGGCGCGCCGGGCTCTGCAAAAGAAAGCGTGGGCGGGGGCAGTCACCCGGACTGCTCCCGCTGACGCCCAGCCCCCCCCGACTCCCCTGGACGTGCCCAGCCACCTCCAAGCATGACCCACCGCTAGTTGCCTTCGATCCTCATGTTTCCAGAACAACTTATTCTGTGGAGCAACCAAGTTTCAAGCCAAACCCAAAGTCACGCGTGTGTCATGGTGGGAGCTTGTCTCCACGTGTCGGGGGGGAGCTGACGAGCCAGCGCCGGCGGCGGGAGCGCTGGGCAGGGAGACCGTCGCTGGGGAGATTGTGTGATCGGGGCTGCGAGCGAGCGTTGGCGGGCATCTGGACTCGGGCGTCGGCGCCGCCGCACACACAAAAGAAAGGCGCGGCGACGGCGTGGTGGATGAGAGGGCTGGTCGTAGTGAGGGGAGGGGGGTGAACGAGTCACGCACCATCATGGTTGGTGGCGAGGAGCGGCGGCGGAGAGCGGCTCGGTGGTTACGCGCGCTTGGCGCCGGCCGTGTGTGAGTCTCGTGTGAGTCTGGACCCCACGACTGCACGGTATAAATACCGGGGGATATATTCTTTTTTTGCTTTGGCGGACAGCATCATGAAATTCTGGAAAAACCTGGCCGGCCCCTGCCCTGCCCCTTCCTACCTACCTACCTACCTCTGGGGGGAGGCGGGGGCCCTGGAGGGTATCCATGCGGGGGGGAGATGGGGTCCCACGGCCCGCCGCAGGCGCCGATTTTTCCGGACTTTTTTTCTTTTTTGCGCGATTTTTTACTTGTTTCATGGGAATTCGCTGTACTTGCGGCCATGCTATCACGCCTTGCGACAGCCTGTCGGCGCTGCTGACCGTGCAATGCTGCACAATTGACCACCTGCATAGCTCGCGGCCTTAGTATCAAGCATTCAGTGACGACCTGATCCTACGGTCAGTAGGAAGGTGTCCTTCTATCGTGTGCACGCTTCTGACGCAATGCGCGTCACAAACTGCCTCGGCGACTGGCTGCTGGCACTCTCGAGGCTATGCCTACACAGCCTCGCGCGCATGGGCAGTCAAGAGGGACCATGCACTTTCTCAGGACAGCGCCAGTGCCTCTCTCTTGGACCGGCAAACGTGGTGGTCTCGTGTCACCAATGTGGGACCAGTGCGGCATCGCGCCATCGACAGCTCTGAACTGCGCCTCACCACTGACCGGGAAGGCCGCCAAGTGGGCCAGCACCGGTCACACATTGTGGCAGCAGTCAGCAGTTGTCTTGATAGCTAGAGCAGCAGCGTCAGGGTCGCAGGGTCGGATCGTGTCAAGCCTCTCGCCCGGCCGGCCACGTGCAGACGCCGGCCTGTCTGCTGTCTGGAGTGATCTGTCGGCGGTCAGTACGACCGATCAGGTCGGAGTTTTCTGATAATTGGAGGGTCTATCTGTATGTACTCCTCGAGATCTCTCCAAATCTGCCCTCTGATTAACCTAGCTTAATCGGGAAGTCGGTGCTAGTAGAGACTAGTAGAGCCGGGGCCCCGTTTCCGCACTGCGGCGCGGCGCACGGTGCCTCCGGGGGCCCCCGCCTCCCCCCAGAGCTACCTACCTCCCTGGGAAACTAAAAAAGAAATCACTGGTGCGGTGAAGGTGGGGTACTACACCAACTAAAGTGATGACTGGTGGTACTCTCCTGCAACCACAGTCCTTCCTGTGGCATGGCAGGCCACTCTCAAGGCTATACAAGCATCAATCAGATCACCCACTTGGGGAGGGTTGACATGGTCGTGATTTCGGAAAATTCTTTTTCTGCTGTGAAATTTCCGCGCGAAGAGAGGGAAAAACCCGACGGGAGGGCCCAGACCTACCCTACCTACCCCGTCATGCTGTCCGCCCCAAGCAAAAAAAGAATACACCTGGGTCAACCGAAATATTCCCATTTGTATTCGGCACACGCCTCCCTACCGGGAAACTAATTCTTTTCCACCTAAGCTGGAGCAGGGGACGGATGTGGAGATCACTACCGGTACCTCCTCCTCGGGCGGCCGCTCCAAGCACATCCTCACTCAAGTTGACGGGTCGGCGGCGCCGCTGGCCGCGCGAAGCTGTCGCGCAGGGGTCGGCGCGGGCGCTGTGGGCGAGCCTGCAGCAGCAGCAAGCGTGTGTGGTGCCGGGCGCTCGAAGCGTATGAGCGCCTAATCATACTCACAGAGCGTGTGCTTTGCAAAGTCGATGGGCTGCTTCTGCTTCTCCAGCCGCGTCGAGGCCCCTGCCGAGGGGGGGGGGACAAGTTTGGTCGAACTCGACGCCCCGACGCCCTACGAGAGGAAGCTGAAGCTGTGGCGCAAGCACGGCGGCGGCGACCTCGAGCCGGTCCTCGCGAGCGGCGCCGTCGCCGTCCTCGACGCGCAGTGGGTCATCAGCCACGCCGAGGCGGGCGGCGTCCTCACTCACCGCCAGGCGCTGCCCAAGGAGGCCTTCCTCTCCCTCGCCGACCTCGTCGAGGCGACCAACGAGTATGCGGATTGGCTTCCCGTCGCCGCGCTCTCCTACCCGTGGCTGACCAAGGACCACCCCGACCCGCGCGGAGCCAACCTCGCCCGCGTCGCAAGGGCGCTCAAGGTCCTGCTCAGCGAGCCCGTCTACATCCCGCGGCTCGGCGTCTTTTGGGACTTCGGCTCGCTGCACCAGCACCCCGACCCCGCCAACGGCGTCGAGCGCACCGAGGAGCAGAACGCGCTCTTCAAGCAGGGGCTGGGCTGCCTCGGCACGCTCTACTCCCACCCGAAGACATACGTGCTGCGGCTGACCTCCTTCCCGGACGGCCACAAGGCGGAGGACCAGCCCGAGGGCACCAACGTGGCCAAGTACTTTGACCGCGGCTGGTGCTTCACGGAGCAGTGCTGGGCGGGCCTGACAAAGGCTGGCTACCTCTCGCTCGACCTCGGCCTGATGCGCGGCGGCGTGGAGTACGACTGCGGCAGCCTCCGAGACGACTGCACCCAGGACGGCGGCCGGCGCCCTCCGCTGCTGCCGTCTGCTTTCGCGATTGAGCTGGAGAAGAAGAGCTTCACCAACGGCAAGGAGGACTATCCGCTTGTGAAGGGGTTGTACAAGGACGCCTTCGAGGAGCGGTTTGGCAAGGCGACCAAGCTGATCTACGGCATGCTCGGCTGGGGCGACGCGGAGGCGGCGCAGCTGGCGGAGGTCCTCGCGAGCGGGGCGGCGCCGCGGCTCGAGACGCTCATAATCACCAACAACGAGATTCGCGACGAGGGCTGCAAGGCGCTGGCCGCCGCCCTCAAGGAGGGGGCCGCCCCGAGCTTGAAGGCGCGAGACGCCCCCCCTCGCCACACGCCCCTTCCCCGCCCAATGCTCATCGCGCCTCCCCTCGCGTGCAGTTGCTCTTCGTGGACAACAAGAAGCAGCCTGAGCTGGTGGCCGTGTGCAAGGAGCGCGGCATCGAGCTGCGCTGAGCCTCTCCAGCCCCGGCCGGGCGGCAAGGGCGCGGGTTCCTGCGGGACCGCCGCGCGAGCACGGCAGAGAGCAACAGACCCTGCGGCTGCGGAGCACGACGCACAGCGGCGGTGGGGGTGGGGCGCGGGGAGGGGGGGGGGGGGTCTGCGTCTCTCGGCGCGCTTCGGCCGCGTGGGACAAGAGCGTCGGAGCGGGCAAGTGGGGGAAGTGGGGTCAGGGTCTGGTTGGGTGAAAGACACACGGGAGACAGTCGGGGGGGTAGATGATGCAGACCGGACATCGATGGCCATTCGGATTGGTAAGGTAAGGGATAAGGTAAACTTCTCCACACACACGAGGAAGGTCGTGCAGGTCGTGGGGCCGAGCGTTTTTGATCTCTGGGTCAGTGGGCGCCCGCCCGCCGCCTCTGAGGGGGTCGGGCCCCCTAGACTGAAAACAAAAACACAATGTAGAACCGTCAAAAACAGCCTGCGAGAGCGGCGCTGCGCGCCGCCTACCTCGTGCGGGTCGTGAGTGACCCCCACGACCACGGCATCCAAAAAATGGAAAAGTAATCCATAGTCGGATGGGCACGAAAACCCGCGCAGCGCCGGCTTTGAGCCACGCGCCTCGATCTTCAGAGGCGCGTGCGCTGCCCCTTCCGGCAAGGACGACGACATCGAGGATGTCCCCATTGCTGCGCGATGGCGTCATCCATTTCGTCAAGCCAGCTTCATCGTGACCGTCGCCACCCTCGCCGCCGTCTCGCCTACGTCGCCGCCGTCGCTATCAGGCCCATTCATGATGCAGGCCCGGCCCACACCCCTGGCTCCTATCCCTATGCCGACGTGTCCCGTGTGCTCCCCCGTCCGCCGATGTCTCTGCTGCCGCCTGGCGGTCCGTAGCCGCCGCCGGCTTCGATGAGATCGAGCACTCCTCTGGCGTCGCCATCCCTCGCCCTTCCGAGGATTGCACCGAACCTTCGTGGCTCATCGAGGCCGAGCGCATCCTCTTCGAGACATCCGCATTCGCGTCAAATCTCGAGGGTTCTGCCTTCGAGCGGGCCGATGACGTCCCGGATATCGCCGCGGATCACGTGTCCCTGCTCGGCTCCACATCGCCGTCACCATCTACCCCGCCCGACAAGAGGCGCGAGACGAGCGACGTCAACCGCACCGCCGAGCTCGTCACCAGTGGCGTCTGTGACATCTCCGGGCCGCCACCTCGCGTCAGCACCGAGTGGTCTGTCCCGAGCCTACACGGAGTCCTCTGGATTTTCACCGTCCTGCTCGTCGTCGCCACCATCCCTTTCGCCGTCGCCGTTTCTGGACCGGTCCCTGCGAGCATGCCGCTGCCCGACGCCATCTCCATCGACGTGCCGCTGCCCGACATCATCTCCATCAACGGCGCCTGCCATTTGGCGCTCACCGGCCCCTCTGCATCAGCACGGCCTCCAGGAAGGCCGCCAGGAAACCAGCCGTCCATCAACAACTTCATCGCCGGCGCCGAGACACGGCGCAACTCAACTTCAAATTCAACTTCAAATTCAAATCTCCCACCCTGCCCCAGCCCAAAACAAAGGTGCCGGCGATGCGGACCATCTCGTGTTGGGGGTGTGTGCTTCGGTCGAGTCTACCGGTCGCCTCCCGACTCCGTTGCCGTCTGCTGCCCCTTGCGTCCTTCATCCTGCCATCGGCTGCGGGCCGACGCCGACGCCTCCTGTCGGACCTCTCCTCCGGGGCGCCGACCGTGGGGGGGGCCGGGGGAAGGGGGCGCAGCCCCCGACCTGGCTGCCGAGGCGCCAGCCGAGGCTGTCACACAAGAGGCCGAGGCGACAGCCGAGGCCACTACCCAAGGTGGAGCCGAGGCGACAGCCGAGGCCGCCGCCCACAAGGCCAACCAACCAGCTGAGGCCTCTGCCCTAACGGAGGCCGAGGCGCCAGTCACAGCCGCCCAAACCAAGGCGCCAGCCGCCGCCGCCACGCGCAAGCTCTGGTGGAACCTTTTCAGAATTTGCTACATCAGCGCCGTCCGCCTCGCACTCCTCGCACTCGATGGTGGAGGCTGCGAAGCGTCCGATCGGGCACAGCTCGCAAGCAGACATGTTGGCCGAAGGGGCGATGCTGCCTGGAGCGCAAGGCGCTGGCTGCGCGGCGCCGCCGGCGCAGAAGCTGCCAGGCGCGCAACCGACGCAATCGTCGAGGCTCTCCAGCGTGGTGGACGCATCGCCGATGTAGAAGCCGGCGGGGCAGCTCGCGGGCAGCTGAGCGCTGCTTCCCTTGGGACAGAACGTACCCGGCGCGCACTCGAGGCAGCCCGCGGCTCCGGAGTCCGGCTGGTACGTCCCGAGGCCGCAGACGGTGCACTGGCCCTGAGCAGGCGTGGCTGCGGTTCCCGGAGAGCACACGGCAGGCGCGGCGCCACCTCCCGCGCACGACGAGCCGGCGGGGCACTCGAGGCACTCGGGGTCGCCGTCGGCGTCCGTCGCGTTGGCGTACGTGCCCGCCGCGCACTGCGCGTCCAGCTCGCGCGACGATCCCTGAGGGCAAAACTTGCCAGCAGCGCAGCGGACGCAGGCGGCGGCGGCGGGCTGGACCTGGTAGTACCCCTCGGGGCACAGCTCGCACGCCTCGTTGTGGGTGCCGTTGGCGAAGCTGCCCTCGCGGCATGCCGTCTGCTCGGTGGAGCCGGTGGTGGCGAAGTGGCCCGGCAAGGCGGCGGTGCACTCGCTCGCGGCCGTGAGGTTGGTGGCGCTCGAGTAGCTGCCAGCCTCGCACGGCAGCGCCGCCGCCGCGCCAACAGCGCAGTAGCTTCCCGCCTCGCACGGCTCGCACGCCGTCTTGCCTTCCTCGTCCTGGTACGTGCCGCCGGCGCAGGGCGTGCACTCGCCCTGCTTGTACGCGTCCGTGTACGACCCCTTGGCGCACGCCGTCTGCTGCGTGGAGCCGGTGGTGGCGAAGTGGCCCGGCGAGGCGTCGGTGCACTCGCCCGCGGCGGAGAGGTTGGTGGCGCGCGAGTAGCTGCCAGCCTCGCACGGCAGCGCCGCCGCCGCGCCAACAGCGCAGTAGCCGCCCGCCTCGCACGGCTTGCACGCCGTCTGCGCCTCCGCGTCCTGGTACGTGCCGCCGGAACAGGGCGTGCACTCGCCCTGCCTGGTCTCGTTCGTGTACGACCCCTTGGCGCACGCCCTCTGCTCGGTGGAGCCGGTCGTGGCGAAGTGGCCCGGCGAGGCGTCAGTGCACTCGCTCGCGGCGGAGAGGTTGGTGGCGCGCGAGTAGCTGCCAGCCTCGCACGGCAGCGCCGCCGCCGCGCCAACAGCGCAGTAGCCGCCCGCCTCGCACGGCTTGCACGCCGTCTGCGCCTCCGCGTCCTGGTACGTGCCGCCGGAACAGGGCGTGCACTCGCCCTGCCTGGTCTCGTTCGTGTACGACCCCTTGGCGCACGCCGTCTGCTCGGTGGAGCCGGTCGTGGCGAAGTGGCCCGGCGAGGCGTCGGTGCACTCGCCCGCGGCGGTGAGGTTGGTGGCGCGCGAGTAGCTGCCAGCCTCGCACGGCAGCGCCGCCGCCGCGCCAACAGCGCAGTAGCCGCCCGCCTCGCACGGCTTGCACGCCGTCTGCGCCTCCGCGTCCTGGTACGTGCCGCCGGAACAGGGCGTGCACTCGCCCTGCCTGGTCTCGTTCGTGTACGACCCCTTGGCGCACGCCCTCTGCTCGGTGGAGCCGGTCGTGGCGAAGTGGCCCGGCGAGGCGTCGGTGCACTCGCTCGCGGCGGAGAGGTTGGTGGCGCGCGAGTAGCTGCCAGCCTCGCACGGCAGCGCCGCCGCCGCGCCAACAGCGCAGTAGCCGCCCGCCTCGCACGGCTTGCACGCCGTCTGCGCCTCCGCGTCCTGGTACGTGCCGCCGGAACAGGGCGTGCACTCGCCCTGCCTGGTCTCGTTCGTGTACGACCCCTTGGCGCACGCCGTCTGCTCGGTGGAGCCGGTCGTGGCGAAGTGGCCCGGCGTGGCGTCGGTGCACTCGCTCGCGTCGGTGAGGTTGGTGGCGCTCGAGTAGCTGCCAGCCTCGCACGGCAGCGCCGCCGCCGCGCCAACAGCGCAGTGGCTTCCCGCCTCGCACGGCTCGCACGCCGTCTTGCCTTCCTCGTCCTGGTACGTGCCGCCGGCGCAGGGCGTGCACGCGCCCTGCCCGTACGCGTCCGTGTACGACCCCTTGGCGCACGCCGTCTGCTGCGTGGAGCCGGTTGTGGCGAAGTGGCCCGGCGAGGCGTCGGTGCACTCGCCCGCGGCGGTGAGGTTGGTGGCGGTCGAGTAGCTGCCTGCAACGCACGGCAGCGGCGCCGACGCGCCCTCGGCGCAGTAGCTGCCCTCCACGCACGGAAGGCAGCTCGTCGCGTTCGACTCGCCCTGGTACGTCCCGCCCGCACAGCTGGCGCACTCGGAGAGGCCGGCCGTGGCGGCGAAAGAGCCCGGCGAGCACTCGGAGGGCGGCGCCGCCCCGCCGCCGCACGACGAGCCGGCGGGGCAGTCGAGGCACTCGGGGTCGCCGCTCCGGTCGGTCAGCCTCGCGTACGTGCCCGCCGCGCACTGCGCGTCCAGCTCGCGCGACGACCCCACCGGGCAAAACTTGCCAGCAGCGCAGCGGACGCAGGCGGCGGCGGCGGGCTGGACCTGGTAGTACCCCTCGGGGCACAGCTCGCACGCCTCGTTGTGGGTGCCGTTGGCGAAGCTGCCCTCGCGGCATGCCGTCTGCTCGGTGGAGCCGGTGGTGGCGAAGTGGCCCGGCAAGGCGGCGGTGCACTCGCTCGCGGCCGTGAGGTTGGTGGCGCTCGAGTAGCTGCCAGCCTCGCACGGCAGCGCCGCCGCCGCGCCAACAGCGCAGTAGCTTCCCGCCTCGCACGGCTCGCACGCCGTCTTGCCTTCCTCGTCCTGGTACGTGCCGCCGGCGCAGGGCGTGCACTCGCCCTGCTTGTACGCGTCCGTGTACGACCCCTTGGCGCACGCCGTCTGCTGCGTGGAGCCGGTGGTGGCGAAGTGGCCCGGCGAGGCGTCGGTGCACTCGCCCGCGGCGGAGAGGTTGGTGGCGCGCGAGTAGCTGCCCGCAACGCACGGCAGCGGCGCCGACGCGCCCTCGGCGCAGTAGCTGCCCTCCACGCACGGAAGGCAGCTCGTCGCGTTCGACTCGCCCTGGTACGTCCCGCCCGCACAGCTGGCGCACTCGGAGAGGCCGGCCGTGGCGGCGAAAGAGCCCGGCGAGCACTCGGACGGCGGCGCCGCCCCGCCGCCGCACGACGAGCCGGCGGGGCAGTCGAGGCACTCGGGGTCGCCGCTCCGGTCGGTCAGCCTCGCGTACGTGCCCGCCTCGCACTGCGCGTCCAGCTCGCGCGACGACCCCACCGGGCAAAACTTGCCAGCAGCGCAGCGGACGCAGGCGGCGGCGGCGGGCTGGTCCTGGTAGTACCCCTCGGGGCACAGCTCGCACGCGTCGTTGCGGGTGCCGTTGGCGAAGCTGCCCTCGCGGCACGCCGTCTGCTCGGTGGAGCCGGTGGTGGCGAAGTGGCCCGGCGTGGCGTCGGTGCACTCGCTCGCGTCGGTGAGGTTGGTGGCGCTCGAGTAGCTGCCAGCCTCGCACGGCAGCGCTGCCGCCGCGCCAACAGCGCAGTAGCTTCCCGCCTCGCACGGCTCGCACGCCGTCTTGCCTTCCTCGTCCTGGTACGTGCCGCCGGCGCAGGGCGTGCACGCGCCCTGCCCGTACGCGTCCGTGTACGACCCCTTGGCGCACGCCGTCTGCTGCGTGGAGCCGGTGGTGGCGAAGTGGCCCGGCGAGGCGTCGGTGCACTCGCCCGCGGCGGTGAGGTTGGTGGCGGTCGAGTAGCTGCCCGCAACGCACGGCAGCGGCGCCGACGCGCCCTCGGCGCAGTAGCTGCCCTCCACGCACGGAAGGCAGCTCGTCGCGTTCGACTCGCCCTGGTACGTCCCGCCCGCACAGCTGGCGCACTCGGAGAGGCCGGCCGTGGCGGCGAAAGAGCCCGGCGAGCACTCGGAGGGCGGCGCCGCCCCGCCGCCGCACGACGAGCCGGCGGGGCAGTCGAGGCACTCGGGGTCGCCGCTCCGGTCGGTCAGCCTCGCGTACGTGCCCGCCTCGCACTGCGCGTCCAGCTCGCGCGACGACCCCACCGGGCAAAACTTGCCAGCAGCGCAGCGGACGCAGGCGGCGGCGGCGGGCTGGTCCTGGTAGTACCCCTCGGGGCACAGCTCGCACGCCTCGTTGCGGGTGCCGTTGGCGAAGCTGCCCTCGCGGCACGCCGTCTGCTCGGTGGAGCCGGTGGTGGCGAAGTGGCCCGGCGTGGCGTCGGTGCACTCGCTCGCGGCGGTGAGGTTGGTGGCGCTCGAGTAGCTGCCAGCCTCGCACGGCAGCGCCGCCGCCGCGCCAACAGCGCAGTGGCTTCCCGCCTCGCACGGCTCGCACGCCGTCTTGCCTTCCTCGTCCTGGTACGTGCCGCCGGCGCAGGGCGTGCACGCGCCCTGCCCGTACGCGTCCGTGTACGACCCCTTGGCGCACGCCGTCTGCTGCGTGGAGCCGGTGGTGGCGAAGTGGCCCGGCGAGGCGTCGGTGCACTCGCCCGCGGCGGTGAGGTTGGTGGCGGTCGAGTAGCTGCCTGCAACGCACGGCAGCGGCGCCGACGCGCCCTCGGCGCAGTAGCTGCCCTCCACGCACGGAAGGCAGCTCGTCGCGTTCGACTCGCCCTGGTACGTCCCGCCCGCACAGCTGGCGCACTCGGAGAGGCCGGCCGTGGCGGCGAAAGAGCCCGGCGAGCACTCGGAGGGCGGCGCCGCCCCGCCGCCGCACGACGAGCCGGCGGGGCAGTCGAGGCACTCGGGGTCGCCGCTCCGGTCGGTCAGCCTCGCGTACTTGCCCGCCTCGCACTG